AATTTGTGGGTCAACCTTGTCAAAGGGGGGGGTAGCGTCCACCTGTGTATTATGGCGACGGTACCCCCATTTTTCGTGGTGCGACGTGTACTACACTTTCCAGCGTATGTAGAGTACTCCTCTTTTCAGTGTATTTTTTCGTACAACTACAACCATCCAGGGTGTGCGTCCACATGGATCCACTGAGCTATATCTGGCCCGCGCAGCGGATGACTGCAGNTATTATGGCGACGGTACCCCCATTTTTCGTGGTGCGACGTGTACTACACTTTCCAGCGTATGTAGAGTACTCCTCTTTTCAGTGTATTTTTTCGTACAACTACAACCATCCAGGGTGTGCGTCCACATGGATCCACTGAGCTATATCTGGCCCGCGCAGCGGATGACTGCAGACGCATCAAAGACTCAAATCCTGTATGTGCGTACACATGAGTGTGTAGTAAACATGGATTTGCTTGCTGTCTGGATTCCACTGTGTGTTGTTGTTGTTGTTGTTGTTGTCTTCACATTAAAAACCATCCCGGTCTCTCTATCCAGTACCTCCTTCTGTCTCAATCTCTCCGTACTAATCCATCACTTGACTCGGCCAATTTCCGTGGTCACAGGCTAACGTACCTAGAAAAGGTATACCAAAATAAAATGGACCCCAAGGGTCAGCAGAGCGATAAAATACAAGAAAACAAAATATAATCAGAAACAAATAAAATAAAAATAAAATAAATAATTAGACTAGTGGAACGGCCGCACCACCAGCCTGGGGGGGTAGCCTCCCACTACATGGAGGCAGGTCGACGGCCAAAGCGTGTGTGTGTACGCATGAATCCCGTTTGTTTTTATCCCATGTGTGCGTACACAGTTAGCCTGCGACCACGGGAATCGACCGCGTCGAGTGTAATATCAGTAAGGACATACGAAGGTACTGGGCAGAGAGAGATCGGAACAGTTTTTAATGTGAAGACAACAACAACGACAACAACAACACACACATGGATTCCACTGAGACTGAGCTACATTTGATGACTGCAGACTACAAAATTACTGATTGAAACGAGAAGATTGTCACCGAGCGACTGAGTTGTTGGACTACGGAGCAGGTGGCTACTGCTGTATGTCACATGAGAGAGAGAAAGAGAGTAGAGAGGGAGCGTGAGAGAGAGAGAAAGGGAGGTACGTGGAAAGAGAGGGATATCTAATCGCGGAAACGCGTGGGTGATGACATGGATGACAGCACCGATGATGGCTGATTGCGTGGCATGCGAGGATGACTGCTGATCGATGAGTGAGTGCAAATAAAGAGGGAGTGAGCGTGCGAGGTGCAGAATGCTGCGCCAAACGGGAACCCTGACTGATCGAAGCACTGACTGGGTGCAAAGGGACCGAAGACAGCGGCGACGGCCTCGCTCGGTCGATTGCACTTTAAGTGACAGGGAGAGCAAAGAACGAGATGGCGGACCTGGAAATGCTGGCCTGTGGTGCGCCGAGAGAGGAGACCCGCCAGTCGAACTCCACGTGAAAGAAAAAATCGTGGCCTGTGGTGCGCCGAGAGAGGAACGCATTTCCTGCAATTAATTTCACATAAAAGACAATTTGAATAATAAAGTCTATTATATTCTACTGCTTGCTGTAGATGGAGTGACGCACACTGACTACTGGTATCGTCAGTATTCTTCATGCTACAAGTATCTGTTAAGAGTGTCAATGATTTTAATGTAGACAAGACTAGACCCCGCCGGCTGGTGCGTCCAGAAATATGGGTGTCGTAGGACGAAAACCAAACACGCTTCATTTTGGTCTGGATCCTCCTTGGATCCACAACCAAAGTAAAATTCACAGGTCCGAATGTCTCGGAGATACGTATGTGACGTGTGAGGTTTCAGACAACGAGTCATCGGAGATCAGTCATCGGAGATCTGCAGTACAATGCCGACAGCCTGTATCCTCATGGTGGTGGGTCAAATGTTCCTTCTCTTCGTTCGTTGGTGCACACAACGCTTTCGGGAAAAATTATTCCGTTTCGCCGCCTCTCCAGGATAGCAGACTGTAGATGAATTGAGTCGTTTCACACAAAGTTCAAGCACACGCACGGCAGAGGTTCTTCCTCCCTTTTAGCTGAGCCCCACTTCTCGTGCAGGAGGTTTTGAGAGTAGGCAGATGTACAGCAATAATACAGCAGGCAGATCTGGCATACAACAAAACTTGTTTGTAGATCGAAATGCTATTGGTTGTGGTGGATCCGATGACGATGAAGATATGACGATAATAATCATGATGTTGATGATGCGGAATGCGGAAGAACAAAGCCATGATGATGATGCCGACCACCGGCGGAACAAGTAACCCAAAGTTCACCCATGGGCGGGGTCAACATCATCTTACCCTAGGCCACTGCCCCCCTGTCTCCGCACTCCGCGCCATCTGCACACGGCAGCAGCACCAGACCAGCTGCTTGTTGCAGACGCTTCAGCACGATGAGGTGAGACTCGCACCCCTCTAGCGCACAACTGGTGCGTTAATTGAGTTATCGCTCTCCATGTCTTGCGCGCTTTCTTGGCGCCGGTGTGTGTTGTATGTAGTCCATACATACAGAGCAGCATTGTTTGTGTGCGGAAACGCGACACCTTAGCGGATAGACTAGATCCTCGAGTTGGCTGTGTCCTTCTTCAAGTGTTGAGCCCGTTGCTGCCTGCTGCTGTATATATACTCTCCCCGTCGTGTGCGCGCGTTTGAGATACCCCGCTACTCCCAAGGAATCTCCCACGCGATCTGATGGCGCCCCATCTATTTTGCCAATCCCTTCCGCGTGGTGGCCGCTTTCGCCTGCACTGGGCGTGGGCACCAAGACAATCTCGGTATCCCTCTTCCTTGTCGATCCAACATGATCATTAGTTCAAGACAACACCGACCGCGTCGACCCCCGTATGAAGTTGTTGCCGGCACCCACCACGTGGGATCCGTGCGCTGCGCGGATCTGGTGTGCTCTGTGTCTGGTATGTGTGTGATTTACACATTATCTTGGTGGGCACGGTGGTCCTTGAAACCGGTCGGAATAAATATAGAACAGGGCAAACGATTTTGGTACGTACACACAAGGTTTTCCTCGTCCGTCCCAACGAGAACGCGTCCCGCCTTCCCACAGACAACGAACGATGGTCGATCACTGCAGATGATGCGTATTGCATACCATGGGAACGGCGGGGCTACTTTTTTGCACTTTCGATGCGGTCAACAGACATGCATGTTGTCGATGCAACCGACAGGCACGTGTGCAGGATCGATACGGGGGACCGCACCGACTGGCAGTTTTTTGTCCAACATCCGTTCGTTGGTGCTCAGAGGCACCCTTGTGGGTGTAGCTTAAGTATGAGGAAGTAGGCATTTAAGCAAGTACAAGTTAAGCACCCGGAGAGAGAGCGTACCCAGCTTTTTGTCGTTGTTGATGCGTGAAAAAATTATAGACCACATGTATGTACCCCTGTGCATGTGTAGTCTAGCAGTATGAAGATTTTTTTAAAAATATTTTATTTATTTTTTTTAACGGGCAGGTTTAGTACAGTACAATACTGCCAGTATTTTCAGTATTGCAGTACCTTTGGCCATAATATACTGTACTGCACGCTTTAGTACAGCTTTCAATACTGGAATAAAAATACTGCGCTGTTCAGTACAGCTCTCGATACTGGAATATACTGTACTGGCAGCACGGCTCTCGGTTCTGTACTGTACTGGACGCTTTAGTACAGCTTTCAATACTGGAATAAAAATACTGCGCTGTTCAGTACAGCTCTCGATACTGGAATATACTGTACTGGCAGCACGGCTCTCGGTTCTGTACTGTACTGGACGCTTTAGTACAGCTTTCAATACTGGAATAAAAATACTGCGCTGTTCAGTACAGCTCTCGATACTGGAATATACTGTACTGGCAGCACGGCTCTCGGTTCTGTACTGTACTGGACGCTTTAGTACAGCTTTCAATACTGGAATAAAAATACTGCGCTGTTCAGTACAGCTCTCGATACTGGAATATACTGTACTGGCAGCACGGCTCTCGGTTCTGTACTGTACTGGACGCTTTAGTACAGCTTTCAATACTGGAATAAAAATACTGCGCTGTTCAGTACAGCTCTCGATACTGGAATATACTGTACTGGCAGCACGGCTCTCGGTTCTGTACTGTACTGGACGCTTTAGTACAGCTTTCAATACTGGAATAAAAATACTGCGCTGTTCAGTACAGCTCTCGATACTGGAATATACTGTACTGGCAGCACGGCTCTCGGTTCTGTACTGTACTGGACGCTTTAGTACAGCTTTCAATACTGGAATAAAAATACTGCGCTGTTCAGTACAGCTCTCGATACTGGAATATACTGTACTGGCAGCACGGCTCTCGGTTCTGTACTGTACTGGACGCTTTAGTACAGCTTTCAATACTGGAATAAAAATACTGCGCTGTTCAGTACAGCTCTCGATACTGGAATATACTGTACTGGCAGCACGGCTCTCGGTTCTGTACTGTACTGGACGCTTTAGTACAGCTTTCAATACTGGAATAAAAATACTGCGCTGTTCAGTACAGCTCTCGATACTGGAATATACTGTACTGGCAGCACGGCTCTCGGTTCTGTACTGTACTGGACGCTTTAGTACAGCTTTCAATACTGGAATAAAAATACTGCGCTGTTCAGTACAGCTCTCGATACTGGAATATACTGTACTGGCAGCACGGCTCTCGGTTCTGTACTGTACTGGACGCTTTAGTACAGCTTTCAATACTGGAATAAAAATACTGCGCTGTTCAGTACAGCTCTCGATACTGGAATATACTGTACTGGCAGCACGGCTCTCGGTTCTGTACTGTACTGGACGCTTTAGTACAGCTTTCAATACTGGAATAAAAATACTGCGCTGTTCAGTACAGCTCTCGATACTGGAATATACTGTACTGGCAGCACGGCTCTCGGTTCTGTACTGTACTGGACGCTTTAGTACAGCTTTCAATACTGGAATAAAAATACTGCGCTGTTCAGTACAGCTCTCGATACTGGAATATACTGTACTGGCAGCACGGCTCTCGGTTCTGTACTGTACTGGACGCTTTAGTACAGCTTTCAATACTGGAATAAAAATACTGCGCTGTTCAGTACAGCTCTCGATACTGGAATATACTGTACTGGCAGCACGGCTCTCGGTTCTGTACTGTACTGGACGCTTTAGTACAGCTTTCAATACTGGAATAAAAATACTGCGCTGTTCAGTACAGCTCTCGATACTGGAATATACTGTACTGGCAGCACGGCTCTCGGTTCTGTACTGTACTGGACGCTTTAGTACAGCTTTCAATACTGGAATAAAAATACTGCGCTGTTCAGTACAGCTCTCGATACTGGAATATACTGTACTGGCAGCACGGCTCTCGGTTCTGTACTGTACTGGACGCTTTAGTACAGCTTTCAATACTGGAATAAAAATACTGCGCTGTTCAGTACAGCTCTCGATACTGGAATATACTGTACTGGCAGCACGGCTCTCGGTTCTGTACTGTACTGGACGCTTTAGTACAGCTTTCAATACTGGAATAAAAATACTGTACTGTACTAAACCTGCCCGTGGAAAGATTATAGTCTACACATTGTATCATGCTGCTTTGAGTTATATCTCTGCATGTGTAGTCTACACAGCCTTGTGTTTTTTTGTCCGGCTCTACTGCTGTGGAGATCGTCCTTATGTTCCCAATAGGGGGGGGGCGTGCTGTGTGAAGTATGCATGGACTATAGATTGATACAGCCAGCCGTTTGGCGCCCGGAGATCAAGAACCTTCAAGTTCGGGTCCGAGGCTGAGAGCCAATTTCATCGCCACGTCGCGCGCAGTCTAGTATTTCCGACATAGAGCTAGCCTACAGTTACAAGGCTAACTAATCACAGGCTTGCACAATAGTATATGCACAGGGTGTCGGATCCACCGCTGATGAACTGTGTTTCTAATGATTGAATTATAGTAAACTCTTCTCGTTTTTCGTGACTTGGGGATTTTCAAGGTTTTTGTAAAGCTTGCTGGTAAGCCTTAGATTAAAATGTACAATAAATAAATCTTTTGAAGTAGATAAACCTTCAATATTAGGGGAGGGGTTCGCATAAAACCAAAACCCAAAAAGCGCCGTAATAAACAATCTTTTGATGTTTATTTGCCACGGGTTATTTCATCTACTTGTGGTCTAAACTTAGGTATGAGATCTATTTTAAAAACAAGTCGAGCCTATTCTGAAATACTTTTTTAGGTATTGTTGTTGAGGGCGCGTTCCTGCACACGCAACTCAATTACTGTGAGGCCAGTGCAATTTGTGAACACTGAAACAGAAACAGTCCTCTCATCGAAACAAGGGACCGTGATCACCTCCCCCCCCCCCNATTTTCAAGGTTTTTGTAAAGCTTGCTGGTAAGCCTTAGATTAAAATGTACAATAAATAAATCTTTTGAAGTAGATAAACCTTCAATATTAGGGGAGGGGTTCGCATAAAACCAAAACCCAAAAAGCGCCGTAATAAACAATCTTTTGATGTTTATTTGCCACGGGTTATTTCATCTACTTGTGGTCTAAACTTAGGTATGAGATCTATTTTAAAAACAAGTCGAGCCTATTCTGAAATACTTTTTTAGGTATTGTTGTTGAGGGCGCGTTCCTGCACACGCAACTCAATTACTGTGAGGCCAGTGCAATTTGTGAACACTGAAACAGAAACAGTCCTCTCATCGAAACAAGGGACCGTGATCACCNCCCCCCCCCCCCCCCCATCCCTTCTCTACTGCATTTTCAGGGCTGTTCTTCTGGACACGACCTACCTGTAAGAACGGTCACATCTCCCCCGTGTCTGTGGAGGACGATTGTTTCCCTCTTTTCACACTACCGTCCAAATGCAGGACATGGTCTTACCACCACCCCCTCCTCAATATTCGCAAACCGGCACCTCGATACACGCATCAAATTGACGGTTTTGAAGAGCGTACCGCCGCTAGAGTACGCCGGAGAAGTATGGGAAGGAAATAAGAAGGTAGTGAAGGAACTCGAGGCGGCGTAGATGAAAGCAGCGAAAATCATCCTAGGATGCTCCAAGCGCACAAGTAATGCAGCCGTCAGGGCAGAATTGGGGATCCAATCCCTACGGTCCGGAAGAGACGCAAGGAAGCTGACATGGCATTATCGCATGTGCGGGATGGGAGAGGAGAGGTTGCCGAGAATATTATGGGAGGCGAAGTGGGCAAACAAAAAGAGGGGTAGACAAGACAACCCACGGAATGGGTCAAGGTTGTAGATGGCGTATGGAAGGAGTTCGAAATCGACGAAGATGAGACGCTGAAAATGGAGGGTCTACGGCGGTTCAAGGAGAAGATATCTGTTGCTTGTGCCGAGAGAGAACAGAATCTAACGGAAGAAACCGAGGATACTGGCGTGATGAAAGAAGGAATAGGGTTCAAGGAGTACCTACATCGACCTATGGATGCAGGGACAACGCTTAAGGTCAAATTCAGGACCGGGGACATAGGCCTTCGAGAACGTCGACGAAGACATAAGACGGTAGACAACGAAGACGACAAGTTCAAATGTGTAGGCGGCTTCGAGTGCGAAGACCGTGTTCATGTAGTTGCACAATGTTAGTTGTACGAAAAGGAGAGGGAAGTGCACATGACTGAGCTGGGAAAAATACAAGTGAGGTACAGGGAGATGTTTGAGGCATGAAATAGAGCGGAAAGGACGGTAGCTGTACTGGGGCATAGGAGGTGAGTTGAAAAGGCGGGAAGTGATATCGTTAGGATAGGTAGACTAGGGAAGACATTTTTGAGCCACCTTTGGCAAAGTAGGAAGGAACTTTGGCCATCGGTGATCGGTCCTGTGGGAGCAATGCTCCGTCCTCTCGAGGGCGATTGATTCCCTCTTTTCCCATTACCGTCCAAGTGCAGGACATAGTCTTACCCCTCCCCCCCCCCTCATTGCCCCCCACAGGTGATGTTTGCCATCGGGGTTGGGTTTTCGTCGCTTGGCNTCATTGCGAACCTCCCCCAAACCATCGTCTCGCCGGCGGCGGGCGCTTCGCTACAGGAGATCCTTCAACAACGGGAGGTGGACGAAAGAGGAGCACGACGCCTTCCTGCAGGGCTTGGTTCTTCACGGCAAGAACTGGGACCTCATCGCCCCCATCGTGAAGACGAGAAGCGCGGTTCAGGTCAGGACGCATGGTCAGAAGTACTTCAAGAAGGTCGACAAGGGGGAGAGGTTTCCCGAAGAGGTATGTGCGCGCCCTCGCTCGCATACCCTGGAGGTCTTGCCGTCGCAGATGTGTGTTTGGTTTGTTCTTAGCATCGACGGACTAATCAATGAAAAGACGTCAGCCTCAGCGCGGTTGAAAAAATAAAATGCTTCTAAAGGCCATGATCTGGGACCCCGTGAGGGAGCGTCATGGGGGAGGCTAAGCTAGTACTTGAAGTATGTGTGTATACATACCTACGTATGCCCACGTTTCTACGCCCGCACACACACCACGTGATTCACCGGCCCGAGATTCGACGAGGGCGTGGACCAGGGCGGTATACAGCAGGAGGTGCCGAATCCGACGTTGGGGTGTTGTTCGTCGGATTACCTCCCGCGCCGGCTGGGAGCTTGTGCGGAATAACGTTGCGTGGTACCCTTTTCTGGCTTTCGTGTACCTTTTCGGGGGGGGGGTGTACTCATAGTCGTGCATGCCGTAGTCGTTAGACCATTGACCTCGCATCCCT